TTCTTATTTTCTTATTTTCCATATTTTTTAATCTCATTCTTTATTCCCCATATAACAACATGTGCAATAACATATCGTTATCCGCTAGGCGTTGCGTTATCTAGATAATGATACTTGGACATCTATGAGCTGAATGGAAGCACCCCACTTATATTCTTTAACAGGTTCTCTGGTACGGGGTAGAGCACGCATTAGCAGTTATTATCCATAAAACTATTTTTCTTTATACAGAAATATTGACTTACAAAAAGCATCGATTTTCACCATCAATAATCATTACAATACCTTTTTTCAGTTAACTTTCGAACATAATTCATTCAATTTTCTTTTTTTTAACAATTTTTCTTAAAAAATATATTTATTTAAAAACTAAATGTTAACGTTCTTGCTCTTCTTTGTCTGGGAAAATTTGTTTGCCTGACTGAGTAATGTAACATTGATATCGATTCATGTCTCTGATCATTTAGACATTGGAATGTCGAATATCGTTTTGTATCAAAATAGAATTTTTGTGGTTTCATGTATGCTTTTTGTCTTAATAAATGATGATAATAAATATATTTCAATGTAGAATAGTATTCTCGAATTGTTTGTAAACATACTGCTCGAAATCGTTGTCCAGCTAAACAGTAGAAAATAAAATTTGTTGCATTATTCATTTGAAGAAGAAGAACGGTAACTTGTGCTTGTAAAAAAAGTTTTTTTAATTTTCGAACATTTCGATGTTTCGGTGGATGAAGTTGAGTAATAAAGTTTATAATAGCAGGTGTAGTAAATAAGTAGAAGGAGAGTGAAACGGTAATTAACATTACAGTTAATTGACGTTGTTTTCGATTAATATTAACATCATTAATACGAATTAATGATTCATTATGAAGTTTTAATGTTCGAGTATGTCGTCGATGTTTAACACACAATCCGTAAACAATAAATAAATTTGATAATAATAAAAGATCAGGAATATAATAGAAAATAACAGGTTTATAAATACGAATTATTTTTTGTAAATTTTTCCTAATGGTACATTTTGAATGAATAAAATTTGGTTCATAAACAAGAAGAAATGTAGTGGTAAAGAAAATAAATGACATAACAATTAAAATGTATATACTTAAACGAGCAAAACGAATTGTACAAAAACGTTTAGATAAAAATGGCCAATGAACAGCGATGCAACGTTCTATAATAGAGAAAACGAAAAAAACAAAAAAAACTGTATACAAAAATTTATCATTATCAACTGTCTAAAAATGACTTACCTAATGTGATGATAATAAGAATCCATATACTACAAAATGTTGTTAAATCTGTTGCATATGTAATAAAACAGTGTACAATTAAATTATGTAGTTTAAAATGAGAAATACTAATAGAAAAAACATGTACAATTAACACCGATATATCAAAGAGAGCTAAATAAGTGATAAATACGCTTGATGATGTATTTTTTAATGGTTTACGATTAATAACAACTAAAGCAAGTAAATTACCAAGAAAACCTCCAAGAGCGATAATAGAATCAAGAATAAATAAATAATAATTTACTTGTGCTATATATGTAGTCATTTCATAACGAAGTAAACAATCAGAATAAGAATCTAATGGACATAATATCGCTAAAGATGAATTGTCTAACATTAATAGACTTGTATTCGATAATCGATGCATTTAAACAGTTTCTAAACAGAAAAATAAATATAAATTAAAATATTATAATAATAAAAACGGATCTCTTCAGCTATTTGTAAAAATTCATGTTACTCTTCAACAATTAACTAAATATTCTTTTATAAACTCTATCAGTATTTCACGTAGAACAATGTTTTCAATTCATTCTAAGTCTATGGAATATATGTTGTCTGATACGATTTGGACAACCACCAATCGAAAACATCCTTCGAAGAAACAGGTGGAGATGTTTCGGATATATAAACAGGATATTAAACAGTGATAACAAAATTCTCAGTAGTCAAAAAGATCATGTTCTCATACTTGCCTGACGAGAAACGATCCCAGAATTTCGGTATCAGGAAGAGATGCGAGGACAAAATTTAAAATGATATTGAAGTATGTCAAATTAAAAATTGGAGAAGAGAGACTCCGAAGAGAGATCACTGGCGGGAAATAATCAATTTAGAAATGTGCAAATGAGACCTGTAAATGTCAGAATTCAAGATATCATCTATAAATATAAACAACGTGCAGTTAGACGAAGAGGAGAGAAGTTGGCAGGATCACATGGAATGGTCAAACGAAAAGTTACAGAGATGTTAATGAAAAATACTAATAACCAGTACAAGTCTACTGGATGTGGAAAATATTTAAAACCACAAGGAATTACAAATCATGTCTTAATGCTAAAAGCTGGTGTTCGAAGTGTTAGTAGCAGATTTAATTGTTAAACATCTACTGGGAACTGATTCTTGGAGTGAATGATGGATACTATTTAAGCCGGATCATCGCAGGATAGTATTCTGATGTATATCCTGGACTAAGTTTTCCGCAGTGATCAACAGACTATTCGTAAAATCTACACAAACACTGATCTTTTGAAATGCTTTTTTGTTTTTATTTGTATATTTTTTCTGTTTCTTACCCTACATCAGAAACGGTGACAAGTCTAACTAACTGATACAATTTGTTATGAAATGTAAGCCGTGATATAAATTGTGTAATATTATTCAAGAGGAAAAAAAGGTGAGAAATTTTGACTCGAACAACACACTGATTTTCTAGTCATTTAGTCTTTGATCGAGTTGCCGTGACATAAATTAATATTGATTAATCTTTCTTTTAAATCGATCCCTTGTGAATTATTTGCATAATAAGAAAAATATACATCACAATTGATATAACAGTCTATGTTCCGTGACAAAGTTTATCATAAATCATATAGTTTAAAGTCACGTAGGATTTTGTTGAATATAATAATTGATCATTTTCTCGTCACTCCAAGGTCGAAAGTGATAGGTACCGAATGTATTATAATAATATGTTCGAAATTAGTTTCATTTACTTTAGATAAAAAAAATCGAACATTTGACTGAGAAAACAACGTACTTGATTCAATTCTTAGTGTATGCACGCATATTTCTATCATTTAGAATAGAATTTTAAACTAAATCTGTGTAGAAGATTTGTCTGTAATCTTATCTCTTGAATTTTCAGTAGTTTGAATAAAATTGTTTAATATTTCTTACCTGAAATTAAAATTCAAATAAATTGTTATAAAAAATCTATCGAATCTTATAAATGTGTGGCAATATTTGCCCGTATTTTTATACTTTTTCTTTTTGCAGCAGAATGCATAAAATAATTGAATATAAAATCTACAATGTTTACATATCTTATTCGTCCTAGAAAATGTGTTTTTAAAATATGAGAAAAGATTCTTTTATCTATGTATTACTGTCTATGATGTTGTTGTAGTACCTGTTTCTGTTAGATGTCAAAAACAACAAAAAACGTTTTGAATTTCTTAAGAAAAAAGAAAACAGAGAAGAAATTTGAATACTGAAATAAAACAGAACAATAGAATTCCGTCGTTCTTTCTTTCTTGATTACAATTACAATTTTGTGAAAAAATAAATATGATATTTTTTGTTTTATGTCCATAATTATCTTTCACTATTATTTATCTCTTGGGACAGAATAACTTTCTAAAATGAGAGAAAGATTCATTTGATTCACAAAAATTAGATAATTTCGTAATAAATGATATTTTAGAGTAAATGACAAATGATAATTTCCGAAATTAATGTTTCTTTTAATCAAATTGGTTGTGTAAAATTCTGTTAAAATTTTTTTCTATATTTAAGACATAGAACGACGTTAAAAAAAAAGAAAAAGAAAAAACATGTTTGTGTAGTCGAAATAAAACACCACGTTGTCTTTTTACTACGACATCAATTTTACTCATGTGTAATGTGCACTAATTAATCCACTGTTGTTGTTTTTTTGTTTACTAAAATAATTTTCAATAGACTTTTGGACTTTTTTTGAATTTTATTCTCTGTTTTATATAGCAAAAAACAAACAAAAAACACGAAATTTGTATTTAAACAGTTTTAAAAAATGAACTCCACTTACTTGTACATACGTACAATGTTCTTGATATCTAGATGGAATACATTTCTTTTTTTTATGCGTACATTTGATGACATATGGATTTAGAATGAAAACTGATAAGGTCGGTAATATACAGTTGTTGTTGTTATCATTTATTTGTCTATTCGTTTGATTGTTTTATCTGTTATCAAACCAAAAATTCTTGTTTTTCTTTATGTATTTTTTTTCTTCTGTTTAATAATATTAATCGTTCTATTCTTCTAATCAAACATGTTTTTTTATTACTGAGAAATCAACTGACAAAAATGGTACTTCTATTTTAATCTTTTGAAATAAAGTACACATTAAAATACAGTTAATATGTACATTCAATTTGAATATACTTTTTTTCAATATAAATTAAAACTTGTTTTAGGAAAAATACGAGCAAAAAAAAAGAAAAAAGAAGGTTAATGATGCATTCATGAAGAAAGGAAGTGTTTTTTTTTTTTTTTGCAACTCAACAGGGTTAGTTAAGCTTTGTTATTTATAGATAATCACAATTTTTTGTCATCAATTATGGCTAACAGGTGTAATGTGAACCAGATTACAATCAGTAAATGAATATATACGATTTGATTAACAAATAAAATCTGCTAAAGGCAGTCGTTAATGATGATGATGTCTGTTAATTATAAACAGATATGTACAGTACTACTTGAGTTATTCTTCGATGATTTCTAGATTATTATTATTATTATTATTATTAGAATCGTATGAAAAGAGACAAAAGACAAGGAACAAATAGACAGGAAAGAAATTTTCCTGTTTCTTATTTTATTAAAATAAATTCAATTTTTAAAATTATTTCTCTTACAAACGAAAAAGTTCTTGAAGTAATTAGTAATCTATGGAATGACATGGCTTTATTTAAACTTTCTATTACTCAGACTGAAGATTTGTTGATATTATGATCAAATTTTTTTGAATAGGTAAACTCTTATAATTTCTTTTCTTCGCTACAGTTCGATTTTCTTCCAGATTCTTTGACGAATGATACTCTCTCTTATTTTTCACTCATCAGATCTGCAAGAATTGAGATGGCCGAAACTGATTCTACTCTTGTCACAGTTTAATTTCAAAAAGGCATTCGACAGAGTTCTTCACCAGATATAACTAGTAAAATCAGTTGATTTGGATATGATCAGAGAGATATTCCTCTGGTTTGAAAATTATCTTTCAGAACGCAAACAGAGGGTACGGATCGAGGATTGTTTATCGCCATCAGGATATTCCTCAGGGATCCATCGTGGGTTCTCTACTTTTTTTCATATTTATCAATGATCTTCCTCTAATAAGTCGATCTCTGACCGTTATGTTCACTGCTTGCACTTTTTAACTCCTCTTTTCAGCTACCATTTGCCAGTCATACATTGACAAAATTGACAACTGGTGTTATAAAAATTTTATGTCTTCCAGTATTCGTGGATATTCTTTTTCAG